GATCCTGCTCCTGCCTTTGTTTCAAGGTAATTTGCATCATCACAGATCCTCACAGGAGGTGAAAGGCTCCGTACCAGCTATGAACTGACTGACCAGTGAAGTTTTCCATTTATCAACTCCTCTGTGAAATCCTATGAAATATGAACTTTCATTTCTACCCAGAACTTTTACAATCTTTTCTCCAATGCCTGATGAAGGGTGTTTGTGCCTGAAAGCTTGCAATTAAAGCAACTTTTGCAAAAATCTTGTTGGTCTAATAAAAGATCTCTACTATGAGTCCTGACTGCCTTTTCCTTTACACCAATACTGCTACAACCTGGATACCTGACACATGGTTTAAAACTGCAGTCAGTTCTTCTAATACAGAAGGACTGCTTGTAGTCCCAAATGTTTATGAAAGCATTATGGACAGCTGGCACTTCTAAATGAAGAAACATGGTACAAATTGATCAGGAATTTGTCAGTTCTACGCTGCATATGGCTGTTCATCCAACTTACTTTAGTGTTGGAGACTAAACTGCCACAGAAGAGTAACAGATGTTTAACTTTACTGCCCACATTCAGTCCAGTCTCTCTGTACCCTCCAAGTAAATATTTCACGCATTCATGCTTTGATTATAAAATACTCTAAACTCAGGACCCAAATGAAATCTACAGCATTGTGGTAAATTTAATTTGGATTACTATGGACATACAAGAAAGTATAGTGTGAACTGCAGCAGATTTTTAGAATGATTTGTATGGCATCTTTGTACAAATTACTATAACAGAACCCAGTTCTTTCTTACCCAGATAGTCTGCAGGAGGTTATCAAGTCAAGAATGAGCCTCAACTGTATACTACATCTTTACTTCAAAGGGGACCACTTCTGCAGCCACCCAGAGCTCTTCAGCAGGCCCTTGAAGCCTATTGCTGCAACTCTGCACACCCCAATTACTTTGTAATCCCTGCATATACGAGGTAAGACTCCAACCCTGCAAAGCATCTATAGGTGTTACTGTACAGAATTCAGTTTTATGTTTATAGATTTTCTACATGTTATGAAATGATACTGGAAACACAGAACTGTATTGTGTAACCTGTGCAGAGGAAGAATTAATTTTGGTTCCCATGTAGCTGCCACCGAGTTTTTGACCAGGAGGCAGGCAGAGAGTAACACCATCCCTCATGTCCATAACAGAGACCCGATTTGAGGGTTAAGTTACCAGTCCATGTCTTTTGGCATATTAGCCAGAGGACAAGTATAAAAGGCTTTAAAGTTAGCAAAATTAGTTTACTATGCTCCTGCATAGTAAAGTCAGTTAATCCTGCTTTCCAATAGATATGATTCTCTATTAAAGCCAATATGCAACCATATATGGCACAGAACAGCAAGACTTCTCCCCAAAATGGTTTTTATGAACAATTTGAAGTTGCTTCAGTCATTCAGAAGTACAGATTATAAAAAAGGTGCATAATTTGTTTGAAAGGCTCAAATAATTTATCTGCCTCCCTGAGGTAGTACAATTAATTTCAGCATGGTTTTTTGTTTGTTTTTTTTTTAAACCAGGTGTGCCCCCTCCAGAGGCCAGCAGGATAACATCAGTACACAAATCAGTATTTTATGTTTAAGCCTATTAACTTGTAATCTTTTTCCTTTGACAGTATATGTCCTATACTACAAGAGAATGGTTAAAATTGCATCCATCTTAAATTTACCTTACCAGCATTGTTTGTATTTGAGCCCTCCCAGAGCCAGATTCTTGGATAAAAACAACAAGGAACTGCAATCATCAGTAAGCATAAAACATACAGGCTCTTATAAAGGGCAAGGAGGAGTTATAAACACCAGAAGCAGTGACCTTTGTCCCAAGGTCCCCAGTTTAAAAAAAAAAAAATTCACTGTAGTGATGTTTTGGGGAAAAGAATACAAAAAGGAAATATCAAGATGGGAAAGCAAATGGGAATGGCTTCAGCCCAAGTAACAGGGAGCCAGAGGTACCTGTTACTTGCAGAGAGAAGCTGTAGCAGGAATGTCCCCAGGTACAGGACAGCAGATTTAAGGCTAGCCACAAGCAAATAGGTAGCCAGGGCCCACAGGCTACCAGCAGAGAATTCCAGCAGGATGCAGGGGCCCACAGCAAAGCAGCCTGTGCAGGGGCCCCCTCCAAATCCCATGGCACTTATGCCAGGCCAGCACACCAGATGTAGTAGGAGGGGTGGCAGCCGGAACAAACAGATATCCAACCCAGCTGGGCGGGCTAAACAAATGCAGCAGCTGCACTCTCCACTTGACTGTGGGGCCCTTCAAAGCATGGGGCCCAGGGCAGTTGCCCTGATTCACCCCCCACCCAGGCAGGGACAGCCCTGGCTACCAGTGCCTCTTGCAGAGCTGGCTGCCTAGCAACAGGATAAGGCAGTGCCCTGGCTAGGCAGCCAGGGAACTGCTACAGTAGCTAAAGGAATAGTAATAGGCTGCCCTGGAGACTGAGGGGGCACCTGACCAGAAGACAAAGAGCCAAGGGGTAGAAGCCTGGACCCTCAAGATAGACAAGCAGTGCCAACCCCAGCTTGGAAGGGAGAAGAGCTCCTGACAACTCAGGCTGGTGAGGAGTAGGAGCTGCAGGCATGCCAGGTACTCCAAAGAACAGAGCCAGAGTGGGGAAGATGGCTGGGCAGCAATATGATGATCTGGAGGGGGAGCCCAAAGTGGCTCTTGTATTTTTTGCTCTTATTTATACTGGAGGACTGAGCATGGCTGATGGGGGGGGACTGAAGGCCACAGGGGTGCTGCAGGGCCACCCAGTAGAGTCCATCCAGGGTCTGAAACCCAGTGGGCTGTTGGGGATAGATGCCCAAACACTTTAGAGAGCTGGGCCAAGCAAAGCAGTCTCTCTGGGTCATGTTAGGGTAGCTTGTTATATTTACTGCTTTGAAGTTGCACCTGTGTATACAGTGGTAAGTTAGTGTTGTGAGCAATGATTAGAAAAGGATAAATATTAACATTTTGTATAGCCTCATTGATTTATTAGCTGGCTTCGAGTTGTTTTTGTAGAGCTCTTAGTGCTCATTATATAGCTTTTCTTTTTTTTAAAAAAAATCACTGTGTGAGAAGTTTTTCTAACATAACATAGCAACGGTCTTGTTACCAGCTCAAATTAACTGAACTTACTACTAACCAGCTGAATCAGAGGGATGAAAGGATTGGATAGGTTAATGATAGGCAATAATGGGAAACCAATGGACAATATTTCGAGATCAAAAAAAAGGACACCGGTCACATGGGGGAGGGGCAAATATGACTAAGGGAGCAGTGACATGCCCCTGCCCATTTGTTACCTGTCATTGCCAAGCCACCGCACCCCCCAGCCCTGCTGCTGCCCCTCACATCCC